ATATCATCTGAATTACACTGCAGAAAACTGGAGGGGTAGAGTGAGTATGAGTAATAAAAATCGAGGGACAGTACAGTACTCTCACAAGACATGAAGGCACTATAAAGCTATGACAGTAGAAATGTAGCAAAGTGAAAAGCTTTGGTAAAACCAGACAGTATAGTGAGAGGGGTATTTGATACCAGGAACAACAGTTTTAGACATGTCAATGAGGCCTGCCTTCCTAGCACAGACACAGCCAGCTAGCTGGCTAGATAGGTAAACATGGTACAATGGAAAGTAACTAATTTGATGAAGAGACTTTACTTTAGTTAAGTTCTGGATATTTGAATTAAAGTGTCTTCAAGGTTAATAGAGTGCTTGCTTAGCATGTCCAAAGCACTAGGTTCGATCCCTAGAACCACAAAACAAAGTGCCTTTGAGTCATGTAACAGAAAACATTAATAAAGCTGTTTACTATTAAGAGATATGCTCAGTAAAGTGTGAGCTGGAGATAAAATTTATAACTCATTCATACATAACTGACAAAAGAAGTTGCATTATGAATGAGATCACCAAATAGAAATACTAAATAAAAATTTTCTGCTAACTCTGACATTTTATAACTGCTAGTTAACCACACACCAAGATGTTTTGTTTAAATAGGATTTCATTTTTCTTCCACAGCTCTGAAAGAGCTCATCTTCTACTTCTAACAGCAATCACCTGTGCATGTGTCTAATGCACTATGTTTAAACTGGTATTCCTGTTTCAGCTTACTCCAGAGGCTCTAAGTTTGGAGAATGCAAAGTAAATTTTAAAATTAAGATGAAGAATGAAATTTGTTTTTATTTTAATACTATTTTTTATAATATTTATTTATTAATCCACTACTTATTGCCTACAATGTGTAAAACATTGAACTAGGGAAGGCAAGAGGGAATTTATAAGCTCTATGCCCTTGATGGGTTCATAGACAAAGAGAAATTATTAATTAATGAATCTATGAGTTAATGTACCATATTGAGGCATTAAAACTTGTCTACAGGGGAGCTGGAGGATGGCTCAGTGGTAGAAGATCTGGGTTTGGTTCCCAGCACCCACATGGTGATTCCTAACCACCTGTAACTCTAGTTCCAGGGATCTAATGCCCTCTTCTTTGATCTCCACAGTACATACATATACATACAAACAGCTTTTAAAAAATCTTGTTTGCATGGCTGTGCACAATGTGCTTGTGCATGGTGGGTGGGGAGGAGGCACACATATCATGTACTGAGGTCAGCATAATTTTGTGGAGTTAGTTCTCTACTTCCTCCTTTCCATGGATACTGAGGATCAAACTCAGGCTGCAAGGTTTGAGCAGCAAGCACCTTTACTTGCTGAGCCACTCGCCCATTCAATTTAAAACAGGATCTCATGTAGCCCACACTGGCCTCAAGATTACTATGTAGCTGTGGATGACCTAGAACTCCTGATCCTTGTGACCTATCTTCCAACTGCTGGGATTACAGACATTTATTAGCATGCCAGGATACAAGGAGGTATTTATAGTAAGAAGACTTTACAGATACTACTTGGCTTAAAACTACAAACCTCTTTAATATTCTACTGTCTAAAAGAATGGGACTACCGATCTACATACATCCAATCCTAAATTTGCTCAAAAAGTACTTTGGTCCTCAAACTTAGTGCCAACCACCCCCACCCCCAAATCCCAATAGAAATAATGGATTCCTTAGGAATTTTTCTGTGATTATATTTTGATTAACAACTTTTGAATTTTTTCAATCTCACTTACAGACCTTCTGTTACAGTATTTTGTATTACAGGTTTGACTTTTCTACTTTAGGTCTATGCTGTCCAATATGGTAGCTAATAGTCTAAAGAGACAATTTAGCACTTGAAATATGGCTCTTTCAATTTGAGATTAATGCTAAAATATAAAAGTATAAATTTGTTATCATTAATTACATAGAAATGAAATTTGGATTTACCGGATATAAATAAATAAAATTATTTCAAGTGCTTATTTTTCCTTTTTAATGTCACTACTAGGAAATTCATCACTATGTATTTCTAGTGGACAGTGCCGGTAGACCAGGGTCATCATACAGAGCTTAGCAGGTTGTTATCTGCCAAAAGGGAAAAAAGAGCTAAGACTAATCTAGTCTCAATTCATCAAGTCATGTACTCAGAACATGCCATGCTTCCTCAAGGGAAATCAACATGTTGTTTCACTCAAAATTGCCATCCTCTCACCAAACTATAAATCCCAGAACACTCTGTGTTTATGTGGTCAGAGGACATGCAATTTTCTAATTTGCAAAAGGCATCATATAAGCTAGCAATAATCCTAAAGGAGGGGGTCCATGCCTTATTGTAGTTGTCACTCAGGAGCTGAACAGACTAAATGAACGAGTACCCAACTCTACTTACCTTCTTCAAACACATCTCTTCCTATATAACAACATATAGCAGCTCTCAGCATTGCTCACTAGAAACTAAAATCATTTACCCAAGCTTTCATGTTTGTCTTCTGGTACCAAAACAAGAAGAAATCATTGCATATTGTTTCTTTCATAGCTTATCATAAACATTTGACCATTCTCATCATACTACAAAAATAATTATTGTGTACTTCTTAAGGAGATATCAAAAAAATAGTGTAACACAGAAGAATCAGCACTCCCAACCAACCTGATTGCTTTTCTCCTTTTGCCTTAGAACAAGTGATTGTTGGAGATTTCACAGTTTCAGAGGTACTAGAATCTTTGGTCCTTGATTTTCCTTTAGGCAAAGAGTCTGCACTGTGGTCAGTGATGCTCCTTTTCTTTTTTGTATTTTGCAGAAATTCTTCACTATCCTTCTTGGGGCTTATTTCTGAATCTATCTTCTGAGATTTACACAAGTTTTTCATTTTCTGATTTTTTTCAGAATTATCTAAGTCATTTTTATTTATGGGATCCTTTTGATCAATTTTTTTGGTTTCTTTCTTTTTCTCCTCAATCAGCATTTTTGACTTTGCTTCATTTTTGGTCTGTTTTTGTTTCTGCTTTACTTTTTTTTGTTTCAGTACTTTGCTTTCTTCATCAGAGAGGTCAGAATCAGAGTCTGAAAGCTCATAGAAGCGTTTCAAGTCTTCTGTAGTGCTGTGGTTGATAGGGCGCCCTCTTTTATCAACAGCATAATTCAATTTAAATTTTTTGTCATGAAACATGGCTCGAAACCTCTTGTCAATTTTGACTTTTCGGTCCTTTTCTGGCATTTCCCAAAATCTGGGATCCTTTGAAACCCGCCTAAACCGCTGGTCATTCATTATTTCTTGTTTGGATGACATTTTTAAAGTCTTACTGAATAAATATCCAGAAAAACCAAACACTGAAAAATAAAATATATATTACAATGATGAATGGTTAATAATACAACTAAAATATAAACACACATACTTAAACACTCTAAATTTACATAAAATTAAGGAATTTAAACTTAATTTCAACAATCCAACCTATTCTGGGTCAAACATAAAAAAAACATAGTAACATAAAATTCTTACATTACAGATCACTTGAAACAAATTTAAGACAAAGCAAACAGAATCCTAGAGAGAGAGAAATAAAATATTCTTAAATCTCAGTTGGTCTCATTTGTTTTTCATACTTTGTTCCATTCTCTTTGTTAATCTTTACATTTTCAACAGCTTTTAGTTCTACAAAGTTGTCTCATAACTAATGGGGGAAGGGAATCAAACTAGATTTACCTCAGGGTTCCTTCTGTAAATCCTTCCATCTATTAAGAACCAAATTAAGAGTCTCACACTGCTGGGTGGTGGTGGTACACACCTTTAATCCCAGTGCTTGGGAGGCAGAGGCAGGCGGATCTCTGTGAGTTTGAGGCCAGCCTGGTCTACAAAGCGAGTTCCAGGACAGCTAGGACTGTTACACAGAGAAACTCTGTCTCGAAAAATTCAAGGAAAAAAAAAGTCTCACACTACAGTTAACAAATGTTACCTTCTTTTTCTTAATTTTTTTCATGTGTATGGGTGTTATGCCTGTATATATGTCTGAGTACCAATTCTGTGATTGGTGCCCACGGAGGCCTGATTTGTTCTGATCCCCTGGAACTGGTTTTAGGGACTGTCCGCCATCACGTGGTTGCTGGAAATTGAATCCTGGTCCTCTAGAAGAGCAGCCAGTGCTCTTAACCTTCGAGCCATCTCTCCAGTTCCAAATGTCATTTTCTTGTAACATTTTATTCTCAAAGTGACTAAGGTCTAGATAGGCTGATCCGTTATAAACATATGAAAACGCACATGTTTGTACAAATGCATACTCTCTCTTGTGAACAGTCTCTGCCCCAATACTGGGATTACAGGTGTGCTCCGCCATCACACAGGCCAGGGCTGCTTTTCTTCAAAATCCTTTACATTCTAACGAGAAAAACATAAAACTTCACGGCTGCGCTTATAAATTTCAGATGTACTACAGCACTTAATCTTTGAATAGTTTTACGATATAGCTATCACCGCATCCAACAATCAGAGGTAGTGCTTGTAAATGCTGGAAATTGAAGCCCTCGACAAACGTAGGATGTTCAGAGGAGCGAAGGCAACTGGACCTCACTACAAACGCTTCCCCTCATCCCTACAGTCCCCTCATCCTCTGTCCTGGGAGCTCCAGGCCAGCTGGTTCCGGAACCATCTTCCCACCTCACAAACTTTCGGGGAAAGTTACTCGGCTGAGGTCTCTCGGAGAGCAGCCCTGAAGAGAACAATGAGGCCAGAAAGGGACCAAACAATAGGCGCACTACTCACAGATCCCAAGGAGATCCCGTCGGAGACCCACACAGCTCCTCAGTTCTCTTTTCGGATCCCGGTCTGAGCTCACATGGAGCGCACACCCACAATCCTTCGCGTGACGCTCCGCCGTGACGGCACGCGAACTGGGCCAAACTACCTCAACCTTGTCTTTCCCGCTTGGAATAATTTTGTATCTTTGTGCTAGCCGTAGTCCCATCGGTGCATGCGCACAACAGAAAATATGCCCGGCTGTGGCGCCGCGCCTGGAGATGCTGCGACCGGTCGTGCTTTGGCGCCTAAGCCCGAGGCTTGGGGGCCCGGCGGTCTCTGCCGGGAGCTGTGGTCGCAGGGCGGTAGCGTCCAGTGTCCCTCCTTCGGGCAGCACCTCGCCCAGAGCCCTAAACATCTTCGACAGGGAATTGAAGAGGAAGCAGAAAAATTGGGCAGCCCGGCAGCCTGAGCCTAGGAAATTTGACTACCTGAAGGAGGAGGTGAGACTGCGGGGCCGTGACGCTTGGAGGCGCGGAGCTGGCAGGGCGGACCGACCCACCCGGCCGTGTGACCTTGAGAAGAAGCTTCACCTTTGTGGGCCTTTCTATTCTGAAAGGACGAGGCTCGGCTAGCGTGCATGACAACCATTCATTCGCTTAGCAAGTACTGCCTGAGTTGCAGGGCAAAGCAATCCAACACCCCCCCCCCCCCCGCCACCTCCCCCTCCCCCGCCCCCGCCTTTGCAGGATCGCATTAAGGAGAGGGCGCGAGACAGGCATAGACAAGGAATGTAATTTCAGCTCAAGTAAGGAGAAGAAAAAGTGAAATGGTGGTATTGGTGATTAGGATGGTCAAGAACGGCTGTGTGAGAAATTAGTTGAGCTGAGATGGGAGATAGGTCGAGTATCCTAGGAAAAGGAAGAGATGAGTACAGAGCTCCTGACTGAGCCTGAAAGGACCTATAGGGGCCCTTCCATAAGTACCTCTTTCTGTTCAAGATAAGCACCTGGCTTACAGCCTGACTGAAGCCTTGTGAATGTGCAGAACTAGAATATTTTCAGTAAAGCATATGAAAATCGTTTTTGAAGTAAGTAAAAGGTATTGACATTTGGAATGACGTACAAAGTGGGCTGCTGAGGGAAAAGACTTCGATGTAGCCCTTGCCCGTCACCCTCTCAAAACGAAAACAACTGTGTTCTGAGCTTTCCTATAGTAAATCACAGCCCTGGAATGTTTATAAGAGACTGAGTGGAATCATGCCAGATGTCACTAACCTAGTGCAGGGTGGGTGGTACTTACCATTCGACTTCTTTTATATTGTGCTGGGGAGCTGGTCATCTGTACTTTTCCAGACTTGGTGTTTACTAATTTGCAAAAGTTACTAAAAGAAAAAAAAAGCTGTTAATGTAGATTGGCTGAGTATGGTGACACATGTCTGTGATCCTGGCATTCAGGAGGCTGAAGGTGGGGGATTAGAGGGTTGTTATGAGTCCAAAGCCAGCCTGGGTACCCTTTCTCAGACAAAACAAAACAAAAACGTGGTTAATTCATTTAGCAGTTACACAAAGTTTGTCCTAAGTTTTTATTAAGTGATCAGTTATATACTGATTTATAATCCTTAACCTTAATGAATTAATTTATAATTAATTTATAATGAATAATTTTTATTTTAATGTATCTCATGCTAGTGTATCACTTGTATTTGTCTGAGTTGGGGTTTCTATTGCTGTGATAAAACACTATCATCAAAAGTAACTTGAAGAAGAAAGGGTTTATCTTACAACTTCCAAGTTACACTTCATTTCTGAGGGAAGTCAGGCCAGGAACTGGAGGCAGGATCTGAAGAAAAAGCCCTAAAGGAATGCTGCTTAATGGCCTGCTCCTCATGGCTTGCTCAGCCAGCTTTCTTGTATCATCCAGGGCCACCTGCCCTAAGGGTGGCACCACTCATAATGAGCTGGATCTTCCCACATCCATCATTAATCAAGAAAATGCCCTACAGACTGGCCTACAGGCTAATCTTATGGAGACATTTTCTCAATTAAGATTCCCTCTTCTCTGCTGGGCAATGGTAGCCCACATCCTTAATCCTAGCACTCAGGAGGCAGAGGCAGGAGAATCTCTGAGTTTGAGGCCAGCCTGGTCTACAAAGCGAGTTCCAGGACAGTCAGGGATGTTAGACAGAGAAACCCTGTCTTGAAAAACCAAAAACTAAACCTAGTTTTTAAGATTGTTTAGAGCGGGTTTTGGTCTTGTTTGTTTTGGGGCAAGATCTCACTATAGGCCTGGCTGTCCTGGAATTCACTGTGTAATATATTCCAGTCTGGCCTCGAACTCACAGAGATTACCTGCCTCAGCCTCCCCGTGTTTATGTTGTTTTTGAGACAAGGGTCTTTATAATATATGCTAGGCTGGAACTAGCATATGTTCCAGACTGGCCTCAGACTTGTCGCAGTTCTCTTGCCTCGGCCTCCTGAATGCTAGGACTGTAGACATAAGCTGCCACACCCAGCAGATGGCTTAATTTTGATTTTATGAAATTGGCTCTAAGGTAATTTACTTCAGTTTGTTTCCAGGGATATTTTATTATGTTTTATATTATTTTATCCGTATCCAGTATTTATAAAGAAAGTTACTATGGGAAAATAGAAAATGGGATACAAAGTACTTACCATTTTGAAACGTAAGTTGAATCTTAGGAAAAAAGAATGTTACTCCTCTGTTAAACCTACTCCGTGTATTTAACCCATTGACTCTTGAAATCTTTCAGGTTGGAAGTCGGATTGCAGACCGTGTGTATGACATAGCCAGGTAGGAGTTGATATTACAGTGAGATGCTGTCACTTTCTCTTTCTCCCTCTCCCCCTCTCCTTGTCTTTCTGTCTCTTAGTCTCTGTCTCTGTCTCTCTTTCCCAAAACAGAGTCTTGCTCTAACTCCTAGGCCTTGCCTCTAACTGAGCTGGGGCAGTCCTCCTTTCTTAGTCTCTTGAGCATCTGGGAATGTGGACATGTTCCACCAGTCCTGAAGGACTGCAGAATCTGCTGTTGAGTGGAGACTTGAAATTAAACGATGAGAGCTTGATATGTGGAATAGTCGAATCTGAGAAATTGATTACCAGGATTGGTGATTGAAATCACTCTAACATCGTCTTTCTTTTTTAGATGTTTGAGATAGGGTCTCACTATGTAGCCCAGGCTGGCTTCCAGCTCATGGCACTCCTCCTGGATTATAGGATGGGTGCTGAGATTATAAGCTTGCACAGCCACACCTGGCTGTTCTTTTTCTGGGAAAGCAAATGACATTTTCTTCATTGTTGTATTCTCTTTTAAAAAATAGTATGGATATAAAACTTTTGCCTTTCTTCAAGCCTGAATGACTGATCTACTTGGTTTAGCCCAAATTTTTTAATAGACAGATTGCTCAAAATGTGGAACTAAAAAATCAACTACATGTGAAATTTTAAGATTTATTAAATCTAAGTTTAGGTTTTACTGAAATGAACAATAGAATCTTTTGCCACTTGAGTGAAGGAGAAAGTGTACCTAGATTTGTTTCCTGGTACTGTATTAAAATGTACTACATTGCTAATGGTAGTACAGATTTTATGACAATTCTGTGGTGAATGACTTGAGAAAGAGCACTTTCATTGAGTAGTATAAAAATCTTGATGGATCTGTTGCTGTATGCTTTGGGCATAATGAAAGCTTTATTGATTCAGACTTGTCACCATGTAGTGGAACGACAGCCCAAGAATGGCTTTATAGTAGACCTCCTCTCTGGCATTAGCAAATCACTCCTTTTTGTTGGCTTTTCTTTAAGTAACATTCATTGAATTATACCAACATGGGATAAATTTATCATCATTATCTCATAAAAGCAGGGAGAGTTTTATAAACTCACAGACTCTCCAGCTATATTTTGGATACATCTTTACAAATGAAAAGGAGTCTATAATTTTGTAAGGTAAAAAATACTTCCTTGTCGCAAATAGGCCCCTCCTTGTTTCATTTTTCGTCACTAATTAAAGACAAAAAAATGGCTCACTATTATCATTTGCCTGAATTATAGTTTAATGAATGAAGCACTAAGTTTTGCTTTTTAGTTTGGAGTTTACAAACTATGCCACAACTCTGAGGATAATAAAGCCAAGTCCATTAAGACTTGTGATTATGACTGAAAGGATAATTTAAACATTAAATGTTTGGATTAAATTATTTAAAATGCTAGTAAATGTCCTTGTGTTGATACTCTATTATTAGAGTACTTAACAGGCCTTGATTTGTAGCCACTGTGCTTAGCATGCACAAGCCTGTAATTTCCATCCCTTATATTATACTAGACTGGTGTCTTAGTTAGGGTTTCTAGTGCTGTGAAGAGACACCATGACCACAGCAACTCTTACAAAGGAAAACTTAGTTAGGGTGGCTTGCTTTCAGAGGTTTACCCCATTATGCGAGCAGCATGATGGTGTACAGGCAGACATGATGCTGGAGAAGTAGTTGAGAGTCCAACATCTTGCAGGCAACAGGAAGTCAACTGAGACACTGGGCAGTATCCCGAGCATAGGAAACCTCAAAGCCCACCCCCACAATGGCATACTTCCTTTAACAAGGCCGCACCTACTCAACAAGGCCACACCTCCTAGTAGTTCCACTCCCTTTGGGAGCCATTTTATTTCAAATCACTACAACTGGCTGTCTTGCAAGGCCCAGAGATCTGTCTGTCTCTGACTTTTTAGCACTGAGATTATAGGCACATGCTGCCACACTTAAGCTTAACTTTCATGTGGGTGCTGGTGGTTGGAAGTCATCACGTTGCATGGCAAGCACTCCCCAGCCCAGTTTTGGCAGTCATTCTTAAAAACAATTAAACTGACAGTCCTTTTTGTTCTTTCTTCTGTTTATGGAAACGCATGGCTTACAGTTGCTGTGTGTCCCAATTTAGAGGAGCTAGTCTAATATGGAGGTTTAATCTTCTGGCTCTGGCTTCAGATTGACTGAATTCAAGTGTTCAATTCAAGTGTTCATTGCTCCTTACATGATATGTTTGAGCTGGGATCTGGAAGATAGCTCAGTAGTTAGGAAGAGTGGTTGCATGCACTTCCAGAGGACTTGGGTTCTGTTCTCAGTACCTGCATGGAGGCTCACAACCATCTGTAACTTTAGTTCTAAGGGATGCCCACTTTGGTTTTCGTGGGCACCAGGTATGCGTATACATACATTGCAATCAAAACATTCACATATATAAAATAAGAATTTATATATATATATATATATACATATATATATATATACACATATATATTTATAAATAAAGAGGAGATATTTGAGTTGACTTAGCACTGGACACTTGGAACTTTCTGTACTCCTAAGTTTTCCATAATTCTTGGAGTTTTAGGTTTTTAGTTTTAACCCTGTAGTGCCGGAGATTAAACCGAGGGCCTTGCACATGCTGAGCAAGCACTCTATCACTGATCTGTATCCCCAGCCCAAGCTTAAAAATGCTTTATGAAATTTCATATGGAGAATAGAGCACATTTCCAAGTGTTCTCCCGCCTCAGAGTATTTGAGAAGTAAAGATAATTATTGATTTGCTGCTAAGTATGCCATTGTTTCCATATTAACTTATATTTAGCTTGATTTCAATCTTGGATTATTGAACTCAGATGCCTTTGTTAAGTGTGTTCTTCAATTTCATGTCTAAACTTTTTTGTTTGTTTGTGCTGCTAGAGCTTGAACTCGCACATGCTAGGAAAGTGCTGCACTGCTGACCTACATCGCCTGCCTGAGGCTGGGTCTCCATGGTTCAGTATTAGGGCCTGTGGATTAGTGACTAGATCAAACAGACTGGCTCTGTACATTCTATCTTCTGCTAGATACGCTGGTACAGCAAGGCTCCTGAAATGTGTAGTTACTAAAATCCGTTTACTTAAGACAATTAGTTCTTAATTATTTTATGGTCGGTATTGCAAAGCTTGGCTTCTATGTCTTTTTTCAGAGATTTCCCTCTTGCGCTGGATGTGGGATGTGGAAGAGGCTACATAGCACAACATTTGAATAAGGTATTTGATACACTGGCTTAATTAACTTTGAAAAATACAATTGACTAATTGTGTGTGTGCACATGCAAAGCATGCCTGGAGCATTTCTTTGTGTGTGTAGGTACGTGTGTGCTCATGCACACAGAGGTCAGAACACAGCCTTGGTGTCATCCTCAGGTGCTCTCCCTGGGTGCCATCCATCTTTGTGTTTTTTTGAGATAGGCCTCTTGTAGGCCTACGCCTTGCCAAGTAGGCTATACTGGAGGGGCAGTGAGCCTGGGAGCTGCCTGTCTCTTCTACTCCTTTGCTAGCATTACAGGCTCACCATGTCCAGCTTTTTTTATGTGGGTTCAGGGAACTGAACTCAGATCCTAGTGCTTTGAAGGCAAGATAACTGAATTTAGTTCATTTTAAGAAAAGACTTCCCTGATCAGTTTAGTTGAATATTTAGATTTTGATTATGTTAAAATTGCTAAACATTTATTCAGTGCTTTAGTTCAATAATTTTTTTAAGAAATGTAAGAATTCTAAAAGCAATAATTTTTTTAAACCTACATATTTTTCTCTTTGTTCTCACTTTGTTTAAGCATTTTTGATAATTCATCATAAAAGCTGGTGTCTAGCTCACTGGCAGAATTCTTACCCAGCATATATGAAACTCTGAATGTGATTCTTGGCAATGTAAAAAATATGTACACACACATATATACATATATTCATATTAATTTTATTAGTTAAAAGCTGTATAAAATATAGATAGCATTTAATAGTATTCATATTATTTTATTTCACATTTTCTAATGCAAATCATGTCTGAGGATTTCTGTTGCTGTGAGGAGACACTATGACCTCAGCAACTCTTTTTTTTTTTGGGGGGGGGGCGTGTTTCTATGTGTAGACTTGTGCCTTTCCTGGAACTCACTCTGTAGCCCATGCTGGCCTCAAACTCACAGAGATCCACCTACCTCTGCCTCCTGAGTGCTGGGATTAAAGGCGTGCGCCACCACCGCCCGGCTGACCTCAGAAACTCTTAGAAAGGAAAACATTTAATTAGGGCAGGCTTACAGGTTCAGAGGTTCAGTCCATTATTGTCATGGTGGAAAGCATGGCAGCATGCAGGCCGACATGGTGCTGGAGAAAGAAGTTCTATATCTGGAGGTAGCAGGAAGAGACAATGGGCCTAGTTTGAGCATTTGAAACCCTAAAGCCCACCCCCAGTGACTATTTCCTCCAACAAAGCCATACCTCCTAATCCCTAAATAGGGCCACATTCCCTAATGACCAAGCATTCTAATCTGTGCACTTATAGGAGCCATTCTTATTCAAATCACCACAAACCATAAATACATTTATTTGTTCATATATCCTTTTAGCCTTTGTGATTAAGACACTGTGCTAGACACAAAGATTAAAATGGGATTTTAAAAAATATTTATTTGTCTTATGTTTAATTATGTGTAGGTGAGTATGTTGGCATGTGGATATGTGCACCTGAGTGCAGGTGCCCACAGGTACGAGAGGCATTGGATTCCCTAGGGCTGCAGTTCCAGATGGTTGTGAGCCACCTGACATAGGTGGGAAATGAACTTGGATCCTCTGAAAGAGCAGAAGATGCTCTTAACTTCTGAGCCATCCTGAAGCCCCTGGGATTTCTGAAGTAAAATCTGTTTTGATAAAATGTATATTTGGGCCGGGCGGTGGTGGCGCAGGCCTTTAATCCCAGCACTCGGGAGGCAGAGACAGGCAGATCTCTGTGAGTTCGAGGCCAGCCTGGGCTATCAAGTGAGTCCCAGGAAAGGCGCAAATCTACACAGAGAAACCCTGTCTCGAAAAACCAAAAAAAAAAAAAAAAAAAAAAAAAAATGTATATTTGGGCTGGGTGGCAGGGGGATTGTGAGACTCCCCAGACATGACTGTTGATGAGAACAAATGCCATAGGAAATAAAACACTTGTTGAAATGCAACGAGAGTGAAAGGGCAGGATTTTATGTAGTCTTCAAGGCCCAGAATCCGGGTTGGTGGTTCAGAGCGTTGAGAATCAGCATGGCAGAAGGAAGGGAGAATGCTGTGGAATGTGATCGAGTGATGCTGAAGGACCATTAATTTGGGCATATCATGTCAGAAAGAGTCAAGAAGAGGGAGTAGACAGACCCTTTAAGAGGCAGTGTTAAAGGCAGTACAGTCTTGGGAGATGAAGCTGATTTAAAGGTGTAATATATGAGAGTCCTAATAAACCCAGTAGAACTTGATCAGTGATTGGATCTGGAATTCCCATTTGGTATCATATTTATCTGTAGCTCCACTTCTTACATCCTTCACCTTACCGTACTGGCCCTAGCTGTCCCCACCCCTTTCCTAAATTGCTGTAGTCGCTCCCACATGGGTTTCCCTGCTTCTGTCTTTGCCCCCAACAATCTGTGCTCACTTCAGGATGATCCTTTTAAAGTATAAGCCAAGTCATTCTTCATCTTGTCAGAACTGTTGTATTCTCTTCTAACTTAGTCATAATCATGTATTTGTGTGTGTATTTGTATGTGTGTGAGCACATGCCTGTCACAGCACACATGTGGAGATCAGAGGATATCTTTAGAAAGTTGATTATATCTGTCATCAGATTGGCGCCTGGCATCTTTACTCACTGAGCCATCTCAACAGTCTTGTGATTACTTTCTCAAATAGTACCCCCACTTTTGCTGACAGTAAGTTCCATAGCACTCATTAATCCATGGTATTTGTTTGTTTCTTTGGTGTCTTTCTTCTTGTACTGGACTTGCTTATTTTTGTTCATTACTAAAAATCATAGTTCCTACAACCCTCAGTGAATAATCATTACATTGTGAATGCGTGAATGTTAAGGTAACTTTAACTCAGTTGGGGTGTAACTCAGTGATAGAACACTTGCTAATGTGGGCTCTACTACTGAGCTGTGTCTCTGGCCCATCTTTTGATTTTAAGAAGCAGAAATCCACTGAAGTCAATTTAAATACAAAGGTATTTGTTGGAAGTTCTATGCTACTCAGATTTGGAAGTAGAGCTATCTCTCACAAGGTATTGAGATGTTGAAACTAAAGTATGAAGTACACCCCTGTTTTACACGCTTTCTGGGGTTATATGGATGCTACATGTTATCTTCACTCTTTTTCTCTTGTAGATTGTCCCTAGCATTTTTTTTTTTTTTGGTTTTTCGAGACAGGGTTTCTCTGTGTAGCTTTGCGCCTTTTCCTGGAACTCACTTGATAGCCCAGGCTGGCCTCGAACTCACAGAGATCCGCCTGCCTCTGCCTCCCGAGTGCTGGGATTAAAGGCGTGCGCCACCACCGCCCGGCTTTTTTTGGTTCTTTGAGACAGGATTTCTCTGTATAGCTTTGGAGCCTGTTCCCAAGCTGGCCTTGAACTCTAAGATCCACCTGCCTCTGCCTCCCGAGTGCTGGGATTAAAAGCATGTGCCACCACTGCCCAGCTTTTTGTCTCTAGTATTCTTGATGCGTGTGGCCCCACTATATGTACCCTGTACTAGCTTTTTCCAGCTTCTGAGAGCTAGTTGTTATTTCTTCCCCAACTCTGTTCAATGGTATTGTATTGATAACTTGAAAATGGAAATTGTCAAGTGCTACATAATAGTACCCTACCAAGAGTTAGTTTTTAGCATACCACTGCTCTAACCTTAAGTGTATGTGCTCTCGAGCTCAGAGACCTTTGCTCATGTCTTTTCATCTCTTTGTTCAGATTTTGAAGAGAGACAGATAGATTGATTAGCTTAGTTCTCTGCTCTCCACAGTGGTGTCATCTGAGAGCCAGTTCTGCACCTCCCTTACCAAGCCTGCATCAAGTAGCATGTAATCCACCTCGGCAGAGTAGCAGTACCATGGAAATCAGCAAACAGTTCAACTCACAGTGCTCTCTTCTTTCTCTTCTCCGCTGCCTAACAAATATTGGTAGGGTATACGCTTGCTAAGCTGTGAGCAGAAAAAAGTGAATGTGGTATGAATTGAAAGATAGCAGTTTCTCTAACAGAAGAGGGACGCCACATGGAAATCACTGAAGATGTTTCCTGGAGATCTCAGTGGTGCTGCAGATAAAGAGATAGACTGACCAGGACTGACCCAATGAGAAACTGGGATTATGCTTAGCCCATGAGCCACCCCTAGAGGGCGATTTAGTGACTTTATAGACACCAAGAATTGTAAACCTCATGAGCAAAGTCCTGAATTATAAGCAAAACAAAACAAAACAAAACAAAACAAAACAAAACAAAAACCCATATATCAAGTATATGTTTATAAAACACAAGTAAAACTAGATAAAATCAGAGAGGTGCTGAGGTAAGAATTTTCTCAAGATTCGGAAGCTGATGCCTGTTGTTGGTGAGAGAAAGACCAGAAGATACAGATTAAAGATTGGAGGAGGTAAAAATTGTAATTTCCTCCTTTGGAAATTTCAGTAATTGTTTTGCTTTGATTATCCCATTGCAGGAGACCGTGGGAAAGATTTTTCAAACAGACATTGCAGAACATGCTTTGGTAAGTAGCTTTTTAAAATTTGTTTCTGACCTCCTGGTTTAATTTTTAGTTCTTTATTTCTTTTGCAATGTAAGTGTAATTATAAATATATACACTCAGATAATACTGATGGGGGAATGTCTTTCTGTATGCTTCGAATATGTGTTGCCCTAAGTGGTTGATAAATAAAGCTGTTTGGCCTATGGCAAGGCAGCTTAGAGGCAGGTGGGAAATTCAGAGAGAGACAGGAAGAAGGAGGAGAGAGACGCCAGGCAGCTGCCCAAGAAGCAACATGTAATGGGAAGCATGTAAATCCACGGAACATGTGGTGATATATAGATTAATGGTTATGGGCTAATTTAAGACATAAGAGCTAGCTAGCTAAAAGCTTGAGCCATGACCATGCAGTTATAATTAATATAAGCCTCTGTGTGTTTACTTGAGGGACATGAGTGGGAGAGATTTGTCCCATTCGCCGGCAGGCCAGGACACAGGAAATCTTCCAGCTACAAATACAGGGAATACAGTAAGAAAAGCGATTCCTAATCATATTACCCAGAGACAGCTGTTGGTGACATTTGGCCTCCCACCTTTATAAATGTGTAACTACCTCCATTCCCCAAGTTCACGTATACAGTATTACATTAACATTCCATGTTTTTATGAAATGATACTGTGTTCTGTTTGAATACTGTTTGTGTATGTGTTCTTCTTTTTAAAATGACCACATAGCCTGCTTGTATGTGAGCATCACATAGTAGATTTATCTGAGCAACTTCTGGAAGCCTGCTGCAGTTCTGATTTCTCAGTAGCCACCCATGCTGTTAACATCATATGTAAAATAACTGTGTGTGTTTGGTTTATTTACTTTTGCCTGTAGATAAATTCTTGGTAGAATTCATTTATTCCTTTATTTTTCATGTTCAGTATATATCTCCAGATTGTCCCTAGAAAGATGAATGAGGATTTTATGTGAAAGTGCTTTTTTCTTTTTTTCTTTGGCAACCCTGGTCCAGCCTCTTTTATTTTTGTTAATCAGATAAGTAAAAATTTAAAATTGCCTTTATTTTTTCTGTCTTTGATTACTAGTTCAGTGAAATAGCTGTGGACAGATAGCTTGATTATTGGATTTCGGCCACCTACCATTTAGTCAGTGTCTTTCTGTCTCTGTCTTTCTCTGTCTCTCTGTGGGTGTGGGTATATTTCTTTCTTTTTCAAAATTTATTTTTAGTTTTTGTGTATGAGTGTTTTGCCTGGTTATATGTATGTGCACCATGTGCATGCCTGGTGCCTATGGAAACCAAAAGAGGAGCATCGGGTTTCTTGAAACTGGAGCTACAGATGGTTGTGAGTTTCTTTGGGTGCTGGAAATTAAACCTGGGTCCTCTGCACAAAATGCTCCTAACAGCTGAGCCATTTCTCTGGCCCCTTGTTGGTCTTTTCCTCTTCTTCTTCTTCTTCTTCTTCTTCTTCTTCTTCTTCTTCTTCTTCTTCTTCTTCTTCTTCTTCTCTCTCTCTCTCTCTCTCTCTCTCTCTCTCTCTCCCCCCCTCCCTCTCCCTCTCCCTCCCCCTCCCTCCTCCCTCCCTTCCTTCCTTCTTTCTTCTTTGGTTTTTCAAGATAGAGTTTCTCTGTGTAGCAGCCCTGGCTGTCCTGGAACAGCTGTGTAGACCAGGCTGGCCTTGAACTCAGAGATCTTCCTGCCTCTGCCTCCTGAGTGCTGGGATTAAAGGCGTGTGCCACCACGCCTGACACTCATTGGTATTCCTTAACTTTGAATTTTTAAAATAACTTTGTGACATGCCTATCCTCTCACCTTCGTTGATTTGAGCTTTTACATGTTTTTTTGTTTTTTTTTTTTAGGTCCTTTGTAAGAGTTTATAATTTAGAGACGTTAACCTTTAATAATCTATAATATATATCTTCCCACTTTTCATTTACATTGTTTATTGCTTTTTAGAAGTTTTTTAAATTAGTTTGTCATAAAACATCAATATTTTCATTTACAGTTTCTAACTTTTTAGTCTTGTTTACATAGATTTTAAAACAATCTTAAGAGTATAAAAGTGTTCAACCAGATTTACATCTAGTATTTTGTGGCTTCATTTGTTGCACTGAAATTTTCAGTTACCTGAGATTTCTTTTAGTGTGAATGGATTTATTGCTTATATTTTTTTGGAGCAGCTTGATGTTATTTAAGAAGGATTCTTGTGTGCCTTTTGTGTGCCACATTTTGTGTTTCGTTTTGTTTTTTGATAGAAACTACTGAGTAAATATAACATTAACAGTGCTTAACAATGATTGTGTTAGTAATTGAAACTCTATTTAAATATGTTGAACTTTTGTTTTTTACCATTAGAAAAATTCCTTAGAAACAGATATTCCTACTGTGAATATTTTAGCTGATGAAGAATTCCTTCCCTTCCAAGAAAACACATTTGACCTGGTGGTTAGCAGCTTAAGGTTAGTAATCCATTTGTACTTTTAAAATGTATGTTAGAGAGGCTGGAGAGATGCCTTGGCTGGTAAAGTACTTGCTGTGTAAGCATGAAGACCTAAGTTGGATTCACAGAACCCACATCACAGGCAGCCATAATGGCACATGCCTGTATTGTAATCCTGGCTCTGGAGAGGCAGTGACAGGCAGATCCCTGGGGCTCCCTGGCCAACAGCAGGTCAGTCTTACTTGATGAGTTCCAGATAAGTGAGAGACCCCATTTAAAAAACAGTATGGTCAGAACCCAAGCATGAGCTTAGCCTCTGGCCTCCATGTACACACATGTGCATGCATGCATGCATGTGTACACACACACACAAACACACACGTACGTATGTGTGTGTATATATGTTATAAATAGGTCTAATTTACATTGTAACATTTTACTCTTAGGCTAGCAATAGATAATGGATTAATACCATCACCCTCCATCCCCACCTGGAATTAAACCTAAGGCCTTGGGTTAAAGACAAGCACTTTTACTGAGCTGTATGTTCTTCACTGTGATAAAGTAAATTCTTTAGTTTATAAACTACAAGATTCTTCTGTTTAACAATTATGGATTTAGGACACCCTAGTGGAAATCTGATGTAGTGTCTTTTTATTCCCAGGTTTCTACATACAGCTTGCTAAAGCTCTTTTGCTGTCACACATTAGAGAATAAACAGGGTCAGCAGAAAACAGGAGATTTAAAAGGTGTTTTATGTATAAGTTTAGAAAGCTTTGTTCTTTTGATTTCCATCATCTTAAAAGATGTCAGATGTGCTGTCTACCTATTAAAATAGGAAAAATCCAAACACTGACAACACCAACTGCTGGCAAGGGTGTAGAGCAACAGGAACTCATTGCTGGTGGGAATGCAAAAATGATATAGACGCTTTGAAAGACTGTTCGATGATTTCCTGAAACTTGAACATACTTTGTTAGGTTCCAGCATTTATACTCTTTGATATTTACCCAGAGAAATGAAAAATCTATATCCATGCAAAATCATGAACATGAATAATATATTACTCCTTAAAATTTTTTTAAATTTGTTTATTTTATGTATATGAGTATTTTAACTGCAGGTGTGTATGTGCACTACATGCATGTCTGGTGCCTGTGGTGGCCAGAAATGGATGTAGAGTCCTCTGGAGTCACAGATTGTTGTGAGCCACCATTTGGGTGTTAAATACTAAACTCAGCCTTCCACAAGAGTAACAAGTGCTTTTACCACTGTGGCTAGGTTATTAATTGCTAAAACTTGAAAGCAACTAAGATGCTGTCTTAGGATTACTCTTGCTGTGATGAAAAACCATGACCAAAGTAACTTGAGAAGGAAAGGGTTTATTTCACTCACAGTTCCATATAAAGTTCATCATCAAAAGCGGTAAGGGCAAGAGCCTGAAGGCAAGAGTTGATGCAGAGGCTATGGAGGAGTATGCTTCCTGGCTTGCCTGCCCTGCCTTGCTCACCTGCTTTCTTAGAGAACTCAGGACCACCTGCCCAGGGGTGGGACCACCCACAATGTGCTGGGCATTCTCCCATTGATCACTACTTAAGAAAATGTCCTACAAACTTGCCTACAGCTGTTTTCCTCATTGGTTTTCTCTACTCAGGTGATTTTAGTTTGTGTCAAGTTGACATAAAACTATGGAGCACAGATGTCCTTCAGTACTAAGTGGTTGAGTTGTGGTACATCTTGACAATGGAGTTATTTAGCACTAAAAAGAAATAAGGTGTAGAAACATGATAAGAATGCAGGAAACTTAAAGACACATTACCAAATGAAAGTTTATTAAAAAAGCTGAGTATGTTGGTTCCAACTATATGATATTCTGGAAAAGGCAAAATTATGGAGACGGTAAAAAAAGTTCAGAGTTGTGGAAGTATAGAAAATGTTTTAATTTCAGATTTCAAAGTTTAATACTTTTTTGTGGTTTAGCCTAATGATAATTACACTAATTAAGGTTAAGCAACTATGTATTTCTATTTTAGTTTGCACTGGGTGAATGACCTTCCTAGAGCACTTGAACAGGTGAGGAAACTTATGTTGACTTAGTTCTGTGTTAGTTTATTATCCAGATTGACAAATGTTTCTGTTTTCACTGTTTGTAAGTCTTACAGAGAATGGAATGAAACCAAATATTTGTAATGTTGTATGGGCTGGATATACTTGGTACTCTTTGACTTACAAATATACACATTAGGTGACATTCCTTGAGAACTTTAAGAATAGTCAGTTGTAGAATTGCTTATATTTATAAAAGATTTAATTACTGTTTAAAATAATATTGGTATCACAAAACATATTCTTTTGTTTGTTTGTCTTTTTTTTGAGACAGTGTTTCTCCATGCAGCCCTGACTATCCTGCAAGCCATTTTGTAGACCAGGCTTGCCTTGAACTCAGAGATCTGCCTGCCTCTGCCTCATGAGTGCTGGGATTAAAGGTGTGTACCACCACTGCCTGGTTATAAAGCATATTCTATATTAAAAAATTCCTTCTCGCCGGGCGGTGGTGGCGCACGCCTTTAATCCCAGCACTCGGGAGGCAGAGCCAGGCGGATCTCTGTGAGTTCGAGGCCAGCCTGGGCTACCAAGTGAGTTCCAGGAGAGGCGCAAAGCTACACAGAGAAACCCTGTCTCGAAAAACCAAAAAAAAAAAAAATTCCTTCTCTCCCTTTATAGCCTGTGAACTTTTTCTGGGTAGGAACTTGTCTATGTTTATATCTGTCCTGTGCATTACTCTCAGTAAGAGTTAGACAAATGCTTGTAGATTGGTGTTTATCAGTGAGCAGAGAGTGGTGGGTATATGATGGTGTGGGCAAGTGGGGGTGTTCCAGGAGAACAGTTTGAAGGAAGCATGCAGAGCCATGTGAGAACTGGCCTAAACTAGGCTGAAACTCATGAGCTGTCACTTGTACTGCATTTCTTTAGCCAAAATAAACGAGAAGTTCAGCCCAGATTAAAAGAGTAGGAAATAAATTCTATCTGTTGATGGGACATCTTAAAAAATTTCTTTTTAGAGGGCACAAACAGGAAGAATTATAATTTTGTGAGCTATCATTTTTTAAATGTTTTTCTTGTAGTAGTTACTGTAAAAAGCAAGTTGTATCTTATAAAATTTGAAAACATACACCATCTTATAGATACTAGAATCATTAGTGAGTGTATTTTCTGTCTTTGTCATTACTATACAACATTACTACACACCATAGAGCAGTGACTCTAGGATTCTTGTCTGATGTTATTCACTTCCTGATTTATTTGGCAAAATAAGGTTTGTAGTCATAAAATATTAGCTTGGATACAGTTATTGTTTTGATGTTTCTGTCTGTAAAATTTGAATAGTTGTGTTATATTTATTACAGATTCATTATGTCTTAAAACCAGATGGGGTGTTTGTTGGTGCGATGTTTGGAGGTGACACGCTCTATGAACTTCGGTGTTCGTTACAGTTAGCAGAAACAGAAAGGGAAGGAGGATTTTCCCCACACATTTCTCCTTTCACTGCTGTCAGTGACCTAGGACATCTGCTTGGGAGAGCTGGCTTCAATACTCTGACCGTGGTGAGTAGCAGGAGAACCAAGTCACCCACTTATTTCATTGCTTGGGGCAGTTTTCCTTGCTCTTTCTTTTTATCTTCTTTTTTGGGGGGAGTGTCTTGCTATCTTTAGTGTGCGTAAATACAACTTGCCTGAATTGTTGAAAATATAAACTTTAGCATTTAGCTTCCAGGATAAGTAGCTTCAAAAAATGTACCAGTTTATGAAGAAACTTCTTTTTAAATAGCATGTATTTATTTTGTGAGGGAGGAAGGTGTGCCATGGTCTGTAGCTAGAGTTTTCCTGCCTGGCCCACAATCAGGACAAATCTCTCTCACCTGCCAGTCCCACAGCCGCTTAAACCCGACCAAGTAAACACAGAGACTTATATTGGTTACAAACTGTATGGCCGTGGCAGGCTTCTTGCTAACTGTTCTTACAGCTTAAATTAATCCATTTCCATTAATCTATACCTTGCCACATGGCTTGTGGCTTACCGGCATCTTCACATGCTGTTTGTCATCTTGGCGGCTGGCAGTGTCTCCCTGACTCAGCCTTCCACTTCCCAGCTTTATTCTCCTCCTTGTCCCGCCTACACTTCCTGCCTAGCCAATGGCCAATCAGTGTTTTATTTATTGACTAATTAGCAACACATTTGCCATACAGAACATCCCACAGCAATGGTCAGAGGACAGCTTTTGAGAATCAGTTCTCTCCTGCTGTGGGCTTCAGTACTGAACTCAGTGCTTTACCTGCCAACCCCTTTAAGGGAGACTTTAAAAATACTACTCCATTAGAATCTTCAAATCCAAGCTAGGTATAATATGGGATAAGACCACTACAAATGTGGTAATGGGTATCCATTATAGGGGCACTTGTGGTACTGTCCCTACCACCAACTCTCAATTCAAGCAGACACAAGTGACTACATTTTCTAAGTCTAGGCTTAGTTGAGGTAGAACATGCTGTATTTCAGTCCCAGTGGAGAGTTTTATAGAGAGGATCCATAAACAGGAAGTGTAGAAGAAACACAGATTCTGCGTAGACTGATGGGATAGCGCACTGGATATAACTTACTTTATTTTGGGGAGGCCTTTTTGAGACTGGGTCTCATATACCCCAGGCTGATATGGAAGTCACTGTGACTTTGAACTGATCCTTCTGCCTCTACCCCCGGTGTACTTTGATCACAGGCATACACACACCTGGCTTCAGTGACTGTGACTTGACTCCCTGCCCTATCTCTCTACTACTTAAGGGAATTTAGGAGAGGTGCTTCAGTTCTCTCAGCATTTTAAAAAATATATAAGTGCTTTTTACCCCAAGAGGCCCTTGTTACTAAATGGCCAAAGGGTATGAGGTAACCTGACTATTGGTATGAAATACCTGCTTTTCTCTTTCCCTTTCCTCCTTCTACTCCTAAAACTTTCCGAGAATAAATTTCTAGAAGAGAGTCATCTCCCTTCCACCTCTCCGATCACAGTCGCCCTACAGGACTCGTTACTCTGCTCAGATGAGTTGAATAGATTTACTATGATTTCCAAACCCTCTGACATAGAAACATAACTAAATTTGATTGGAAGTGATTGGAATTTTTGATGAAGAAAGCCTCCAGTTGCATAGCTAGAGATGATAGGCTTACAGTTAAAATAGCTATTTGAGTTAACTTATTGTGAATGCATTTCATAAAATCAGCCAACCAAAAATTGCATCATATCCTGTGTATTGATAGAAAGCAAGGGTGGTTGGTAAACTGGCAGAACCCCTAATCTTGAAAAATAGCCTCCAGAGGGGTAAGGGAAGAAACAACAGATTGGGAGAGGAGGCAAGGCTTTGTCAAGAGCAGAAGACAACTCCAAGATGTCTCGCCTGTGTCTGGCTTGACTTCTATAAACTTTTAAATTGCCTAAGTCAATAAAAAGTGGTTTTGATGCTGGGTGGTGGTGGCGGCAGCGGCGGTGACGACGCATACCTTTAATCCCAGCACTCAGGAGGCAGAGCCAGGCGGATCTTTGTGAGTTCAAGGCCAGCCAGGTCTACAGAGCGAGATCCAGGACAGGCACCAAAACTACAAAGAGAAACCCTGTCTTGAAGAACCAAAAAAAAAGTGGTTTTGAGATGTTGAACATCTAAAAATTAGAAAGCATAGCTTTGTGTCAAAGAACCAACATTACTGATACAAGAAGTTAGGCATTGAGGGGTTGTTATATTTTAAGACTTCTTAAATTATATAAATAATTCACAAATAATTTTTATTATAAATTTAAAACTACTGATAAACTGAAAAATCTGTCATTTGCCTTTAATCCCTCAAATCTTAGCTCTCTTCTGAGAACAGCATTTCTCAAAATTTTAGTCTTCGGTGTTCAAAATTTCAGAATTTGGTTTAATCCCAGCACTTGTGAGGCAGAGGCTGGTGGATGTTATGAGTTCAAGGCCAGCCTTGTCGACAGAATGAGTTCCAGGATAGCCAGGGCTACACAGAGAAACCCTGTCTCGAAAAAAAGTAACAAACAAACAAAAACTGTTAACTTATTAGAACTTATTCTTTTAAGACTAAAAATGATATGTACTACTTGTTAATATGAATTCTTTGCATTCTTATAAAAAAAGAACTATACTGAGCTGAGGATATAGCTTAGTGAAAAATTCTTAACCTAGATTCCATCTCTAGCACCACTAGCCAATAAGAATAAAAATGAAGCAAAATCTTCTTAAGCCAGCTGTGGTGGGGAATGTGTGTAATCCCAGCACTTGGAAGGCAAAGGCAGGGAATGGGTCATGAAGCTAGACTAGGTTGGAGAACCATGTTTCCAAAAAGCAGTGTCACACTTGAGGGTTTTATAAATTGCCTTAGTGTGTGCTTTAGTAAGAGGGTCGAATTCTAATGTCTGATCATTGGTAGAACCCTTACCTAGCCTGTATGAGGCTCTGAGTCCAATTCCCAGCACTATTATGAAAAATGACCTCTCTCTCTCTCTCTTCTTCTTCCTCCCTCTACACCCAGCCCAGTCCATGCGTATTTAAAATACTAGGAAGGAATAATGAAATGTATGTACAGGGAGAAGAGATAGAACAAGGTTTGAAATATAAAGAAGTCTCCTCCTGACATCTGAAATTTGATCCTTCTACCCAAGACAGGAACTTGAAGAAACATAGTTATGCAGAAAGGGAATAAATGCATAGATGCTTATTACTCAATTAATGTTTCTCACTTTTTAAATGTTTTTAAAAGTTTTCGCACTCTTCTACAGTCCATACCCAACCCCCAGGGAATAGTAATGCCCACAGTGGGCCAGGTCTTCCTATATCAAGACAGCCCCCACAGGCAAACATGATCTAGACAATCCCTCATTGATACTCTTCCCACGTGATTCTCCATTGTGTCGAGGTGACATATCTTTTCTTTCCAGTTTAATACCTAATGTGTCCTCTATCTGAGCATAATATGTTAAATGGATGTTTAGCACGAGGCTGGGAGATTGAATAGGAACTTCCTCTGTCTACCCCATGCCTGACTTGGTCTTGTGGTACCAAGAATGGCATACCCCTTTGGGAGAATAGTTACAAAAAACAACAACAACAACAAGCCGCAAATGGTGGCAAAGACTTTTAATCTCAGCAGAGGCAGAGGTAGGCAGATCATTGAGTTTGAGACCAGCTTGGTCTATGTAGTGAATTCCAGAACAGTCTAGGCTGCATAGTAAGATCCTGTCTCAAAAAAATAAATAAAGTAACCTTCACAGTATAAAACAGTTACTTCATTTTGTTTTTAAAGAAGAAGCTGGCCCCAGTTGTTAGAGTTTTAGGAAGATAGCATTTGTGAAGAGTATTAAAAACAAGACTAATCTTGGTGGAGATAGAGCTCAGTGGTGGACACTTGCCTAGTACTTGTAAGGATCTGATAAGGGAAATTTCCTGTCTACCCTGAGAGAGTGGTCTGGGAAATAGTTATAGCTCCTTTCCAAAGCTTGATTTTTATTTGTTTGTTTGTGATTGTCACATGAATATTACATTTTTCTTTTAAAAATAGGATACTGATGAAATTCAAGTTAACTATCCTGGAATGTTTGAATTGATGGAAGATTTAAAAGGTGAGTCATTTGTAGACTGGATTTGAGAGGCATTTTGACAGTGTACTCTATGTCAGAGGTCGGGGTAAGCACTAGGGATCCATTCCTGTAGAGAAAGCACACTGTTGTCATAGAGCTCATGGTATAAAGTGGAGGAGGTGACACTAGAAGAGTTAGATTGGAATTGTGGCTAGTGCTATGAGGTTGAGGCTTGTAGCACTATCTGCTTCTGGAATAATAGAGGACAAATTTGTTGAAGGGTACATTTGTGCTTAAAATACTTCAGTGACTTCCAGTAGCAACAGTTCATATGTCAGGTCTAAGCATGCACACACACGTCTACACACACACACACACACACACACACACACACACACACACACACACACACACAATTAAAAAACATCACAAACCTTAGATAGTTTAATGAGTTTAGGATTGAGGGTTTAGTTGAGAATAGATCCTGGTCTGGGAGATTAAAGGGATTTTGTGTGAGAAGATGGCATTTGAGTTATGTTCTAAAGAAATAAAATGAGTTAACTGGATGAAAAGATGAGAGAAGTGTGTCTCAGGTACAGAGCATAGCATATTCAAAAGCCTTTTGCAAGAGAACATGGCTGGAACTGGAAAAGGGGCATTTTTCAGAGGTCAGTGAGATGGAGAGTTGGATTGGTAAGTGAGAATCAGATCCTGCACAGAACCTTAAAGTTCCGGGATTACTTACCTTTGTTTTTATGACCGAATACCTGACAGAAGCAACTTAAGGGAGAAGTGATGTTGGCTCAGGGTTCAGAGTGTACAGTCTGTCATGTCAGGGAAGACCCTGTGATGGGAGAAAGGTGGTTTAGCACCCCAGTTACTCATTTCCTTCAGCTAGACCCTTCCACAGTCTTCCAAAATGGTACCACCAGCTAGGGACTGAGATTTCAAACACACAGACCTTTTGGCAGTGGTGGTGGTGTATGTGTTGGGGGAGTGGGAGGTTCCATGTTTAAGCAATAACAGACCCTCTTAACATTGTTTTCCCTTCCCTGGGTTTGATCTCCAGTTCCCAAAATATATTGATAATTTGACTTCCCAAATTCTTAAAATTTGTGGTGGGTTTGGTTTTGTAAGACTGTGTCTCATGGTTTGACCTCAGGCTGGCCTTGAACTCAGAGGTATGTTGCTTTGGGCATGGGCTACCCAAATTAATGTGTTGTAATGCATTTTTTCCTACATACATGTTTGCTGTCTCCTGCTCAAAATTAGGGAAGGCCCTTATCATTAGTTCATATCCAGAGCGTTAGCTTGGCATTGAAAGTTGCATCATGTAGCTGTACCAGGCTTGTAACTTAGACCTTCCAAAGTCTCTATAATTGCTCTTTTTTCAAGGTTCATTCTTAGCATCCCTGGTACATACCACATCTGCAAAGTGGCCCAGATGTCAGTAGAGAGCTCTTGATTTGTCTCTGCTCGTGGTCATGCCCATGTTGAGACCAGATTCTTTAGTCTCATCAGACAAAGGTTCTCAAGGGTTCAGTTTTTCTTTTTCACTTTTGTATCCCCAACCTGATGCAGTGGCCTTGGTGAAATAAGCATTTGATGTTTGCAGTCTTATAAATTTTGATTACCTGTATCTTTGCTGATCATCCTCTTAACCCCCTGTAGTAATTTGAGTCTCCCATATCACTGCATATCTTCATGAAATAATTACTCAATTAAAAAAAGATTGTCCTTATCAAGCATTTTAATTGGGAGGAAGCCAAAATATAAATATTTTAAAATCTTTTTAAAGATTTATTTTATATGTATGTGTGTTTTGCCTGCTTCTTTTTGTGTCTGCCATGCGTGTGCCTGGTCCCAGAGGAGGCTAGAAGAGGATGTTGGATCCCCTGAGTTTAAGCTTAAATGGATGTGGTTGCTGGGAGTCAAAACCTTGTCCTCTGCAAAAGCAGCAAGTATCCAAACCACCAAGTATCTCCCCAGTACAAGATGCATATTTTTAAGAGTTAATTAGCAAAGGAAGCTTCCTGCAATAAAGTTTGCTAAGAGGTGGTGTTTTGGATTTTGGTAAGTGTATTTCAGTTATTTAGGAGGGAAATTTGACAGTTTTTGGTAGGTCAGTTGTGGCCTTTGTGAAATAAGCATTTAGTGAGTACAGTCGTACAAATTTTGATTACCTGTATGTCTTTGCTGATGAGCCTCTTATCCCCTGTAGTGACTTGAGTCTGCCACAGCACTGCAGCAGAGTTGACTAGGGGATGGGGAGGCATACATATATATATATATGTATGTATGTATGTATATATATATACATACATATATATGTATATATATATACATATATATATAAAATTATGTAGAAGAATCAATCTATCTATCTATCTATCTATCTATCTATCTATCTATCTATCTATCTATCTATCTATAGAAGGCAAGAGAATAGTACCACTAGACCTAGGTGTTTGTGGAAGTTCCCAGGTCATGGAGCTGTTTTCCTTGTTACAAAGGAAGTAATACTATATAGAGGTACAAAGCTTGAGAATGATGTAGAAACACTCTGAAATAGTCATTGGAGAGAAAGGTGAACTGACTAGGGAAAAGCTACAGAGTTTGAAGGGTTCATTTAAAGTCTATCAGACTTATCAACGGTGGTTGGCAACAAACAGGGAGGTAGTTGAGTCGGTTTGGATTGATGTTTTGCTAATTATATGACAGAAATCCAAAAGTGAAAGGTAACTCCACAAATATAATTGAAATAGTGACCTGGAAGAAAAAGGAAGTAGAAGGCAGAAGTGAGCTGGTAAGTTGGGTGAAAGTTGCTGTAGCTAAGCATTCTCAAAGCAGTCAGAAAACAATTATGGCTGAAGTACTTAATCATGCTGAAAGGGCAGGATGATTAAGTCAGAAAATGAGATGCTTGGTGAATGATTTGAAGGTAAAGCAGTTATAAGTGATAACTCCGTCTGGGACATATTTCACATATGGGGCAGAGGTGGAGTGACAGAGCTCAATGGGTATGAGGTAGAGAGAATGGAATTTGATGGACAGTAACATTGAAAACCCTTCCTCTTAGAATGGTGGTATGACCAGAGGTGCACAGGAAAACTGAGCCAGGTGCCAGACCTTGCAAAGGAGGGGACTGACTGGGTGATAACCTGTCAGCAAGCAGGAGCAGGAGAAAGTTATGGCTAAGTGGAACAAGCCTCTACAGGGAGAGGGCGTATGATAGGTGGAGGAGGTATGGCCAGGAAGACACCGAGGAACAACAGCCACACAGATCCTACCTCCCAACTTAGACGACTGTGACTCCTAAGTAATAAATACCTTCCATCGAGAGGTTTCCATCTGGTCTCCTTTGTGAACTACTTGTTCATGTGCTCTCGCGCTCTCTCCTCTCTCTCTCTCTATCACACACACACACACACACACACACACACCCCACACACTTCATTAATAGCATGGATGATTTGGGGGAGTTAAAGTTGGGGTCTGTGAAACAGAATTATGCTTACCTAAGGAAGCCTTTATCTGGTTCTGAAAGTTGTGATATGTTTTGAAATAATGAAATTTATAAAATTGTTTGCCTGTTCTTTTATTCATAGACTTATGATTTTTACAAACATTATTACACTTGTTTTTTTCAGTAACCTTCTTGGTAACTGCGTTGCTCCTGTATTAAGTGAGAAACATTAGGGCTAAGGAGAACAGTTGAATCTGAGTGGCAGAATTAGGTGCCAAATTCTTGTCTCCTGCCCTGGCTTCTTCACTGACCCCTATTACTTGTTGTAGTTGCCTACTAGTGATAAGGTTCTGCCCTATGTGCTTCCATTACTTGCCTGTTTATCACAAGACCCGTTTCACATGTTTAGCATTCTTCTGAGTGTGACCTTACACTGTCATGTTAACATAGGGAAATGCACATAGCCAAAAACTTACCATTGTGGTCCTTTTTCATCATGAAATAAAGGATTGGTAGGCTGTAGATTTATACTCAAGATGATAAAGATAATAAAACACAGAAACTATTTTTTGAACACTTCCTCAAATACTGAAAACACTGATAGAATTATGGAGCCCTTTTATCTAAAAGCTTGAGACATGATAATGAACTTATTATTTCTCATTTAGGTTTCAATGATAATTCTTCAAATAGACTGTTTATTTTGTACTAGTCTACAATAAGTGCTGTGCTCATGATTCATTTCAAGAAAGAAAATAGAAAGAGACAAGAAATTAGACCTATCAGTTGGAAAAGGTTACTGCCCACTGATTTAAAAATACAATAATTACTCTGCAATTCTCTGATGCTTTTTTCTTTCTTTCCATGTGTGGGTGCTCCTCTGCTCCACATTGGTGTGTGTTTCTAGGGATCAGAAATCCCTTAGCCTTGCACATATGAAGCAAGTGGTCTACCACTGAGCTACTTCTCTAGCCTCTGATGTTTTTGAGACAGTCTGGCTATGTACCTCAAGCTACCCTTGATCTTGCTTTGGATCACAGACTGACCCCAGACTGTCTGCCTGCCTCTACCTTTCAGTGCTGGGGTTATAAGTATATACCATTGTATCTGACTTAGATTTTCTAATACCTTGATTTACAGGTGAACATATCAAGGCATAAGTACCTTGTCTGTAGTCATGCTAAACCTAGAATTAGTTGCTTGAATCCACATTATATACTCAATATAGATATATCCTTAAAAGAGTGAAATTGGCCCTTTTTTTGTCCAGTTAAATGCCATAATTTTAAGGCTATAGCTACTTGTATTTTTAAAAAAATATTTTACTGTTTCCTTGAGAATTTCATACAGTATATTTTGATCATATTCACTCTCCTAAAGATCCACCCACCTTCCCTTCCCCCCCAGTTTTGTGTCCCTCCCCCCACCCCCCACCCCCCAAATCAAGGGCAATTTGTGCTACTTAGATCTGTGGCCTTCTGCTGGATTGTGGTTGGCTTCTCAGTAGCTACACTCTTAGAGAAAACTGACCCTTCCTCTCCCAGCAGTTAACAATGGCTAATAGCACCTCAGGTAG